GGCCGGCTGGATTTGAAGCGAGCGAAGCGGACAAAAGCAAATGGCCGCACTTGCAACTGAACCACGGCAAATCTCACACTCGTTGTATTTTGTTTTGCTTTTGTTCATCTGAGCTGGTGTGATCTTGCCACTCTTCAGCCAACTGCTGCTTTCGCTTTTCCTTCTGAGCCATCTTGGCTGGGTCTTCTTGCTTCTCTTTTCGCCTCTTTTGGCGTCCAGCTTGCTTCTCCTTTAGGAATCTATTCCCGTCGGTCTGCGCAAGGCTCATCTTGCTGTTCTTCATGAACTCGTTGAGCTGAGTCTTGTCGGCTCCTGTCTTGTCAGGACATTGGACAGATTCTGCGTTCCATCTATCCATTTGACATCAGCTCCTGGTCTTCTGATGGTTTCCCTCAACAAAGCCCCCTCGATAGCCATGCGTTTGTCAGTCGAGGTGCTAGTGGCATCCTTCTGCAAGTAGTCGTAGACGCTCTTGACATCAGTAACATACAGTCGAGAGCGCTTCTCGATGACATCGCTCCAGTTCTTCAAGTCAACTTTTCCAGTGAGGGAAACAATCAACCAATCTCCAGCCTCAACAGCATCAGCGAGGTGACTGGCTTCGGCAGCCAGGGCAGACCTGCAAACACGTTTTGTGACACTGGAGTGGAAGGCAAGGATGTTGCAACGAACTTCCTGGCCATGTAAAATGCAAGGGTTTGCAACCAGAAGAAAGTAGCCGCCTTCTGGCGTGCCATTGGCGGGAATGGGCAACTCTGAAAGAAGCGGAAAGGTGGCCCCCTCCCCATACTAAACCAACAGGTCTTCTCTTTCGGAAGCAAAACGAGGCTCCTGCAAATCATGCTCTTCTCATCAAAGGCCACATTGATGGCAAGGTGATTGGACGGTGTCTGAATCATCGGAATGCTGACTCCCAGCTTGTGACTTTCCACAATCATCTCTTTCAGCTTGATCACCATATCGAGTGCTGCCATCGCTGAGATCGAAAGAAGAAGTGGCGTCATGCCGTCAACGATCTCTGCAGAGAAAACATCTCCTCGATGGCCTTGGGTGTAAATTGGCACTCTCCAGACCACAGCTTTATCTTGAGTCTGTGATCCATTGGCGAAGTGGAAAGTCTTCCTCTGGGCGGTTAGGGTGCAAGTGACAGGTCAGCTCATACTGCTTTCTCCATTGAGCTGAGCATGGAGGCCGTGCGCGCGGTGTCAAGAAGACAAAGCTTGCTTTCGTCCAACTCGTCCGGGCCAGCTGGACCAAAATGGTGATGACCCGGTTTTCCTTCGCCGCCATCATCTGAGGCATCTGGATTGGGCTCATTAGCTGAATTCGCGGTCATCTTGGGGACATGCAAAGACTCCTCAATCACATAGCCGAATTCTGGCGGTGAAACTGCCGGCTGTGCTGCATCACTTGGACCACTGGTGCCCGGATGGGCTGTGTGATCCCTGGCCTGAGAACGTTGGCAATGGCGGCACGATGTCCTGCAGCTTTCTGGCGCCTCGGCGAGCGGTTTTGACGTGGCACCATCGGTGACCGGCAAATAGGACAAGCCAGTGAAGGGACCTCCTTACCAATCTCCGTGCGCCGGTGTGCGGGTCCATGTTGTTGGTCTTCTCGGGTGTCGAGACAGCTGGGGACACAGACTGGGGCTCTTGGTGAGCTTCGATATATGCGGCTTGGGCTCTGCGTCTCTTCAACTGGCATTGGACCGGCCATGGAGATCTCTGCACCGCGAGTCTTGCGGTTGGCTGAGGTGCGGACTGGGCTTGCCGGCTGTGCTCGTGGCAGTGGTGGTGAGGCTGGTGCCGCCTTAGTCTAGACTTGGGCTTTGGCATCGCAGGCATTTGCTCTTGGGCAGCACTGCTTCGAGCTCTTGAGTCTTCTCGCAGCTGGACGAACTGCTTGGCGCATCCTTTCTTTGGCACAGGCTCACCACGGAACAACCAACGCAGGCGGTCCAACTGCACTTCCTTTGTGCCTGCGGCGGGGTGGTAGGCTTTCGTGTCATAGAGGCCTCCTCTGGGCTCAACACCTTCAAAGCTGGGCACGGTGATGGCTTGGACTTTACTCTGCGAAACCTTCATCTCAAACTTCACATAACCATCGGGCGACGCTGACCACGGGGCCTGCGAAGGCTCCAGCTGGTAGGTCTCCTTCTCCGGAACTGCCGCATCAACCTCCTCCCAATTAAGCCTTTACCTTTGCTTCGGTGCGCCGAAGTGAACTGGGGCGCCAAAAGTGTCATTCATCACGCATGCGCCCTCAAAGTTTGTGAAAAACATGCCTCGATGAAGTCTACTTCTTCAGTTTCGCTTTCACTCACTGAAAGACATACCGTTTTTTTTAATGCGTTGTATCATTCATGCATGTGCCCTCAAAGTTGTTTGACGCATACCTAGATGGTTCCATTTTGATAATGTTGGCTGATGTTTGCACTGAGTAACGTCATCATTCAGCTTGTGAGGGATTTCACTTTCACCCTAATCCATCACTAATCACTGGTTCCGACCAGGGCTTTAACCAATGATTATGATTGTTGGTCATCACAAAATCAAGGTTCATTCACTCGGTTATTTGTGATGGGCTTATATAATTTGCGCTGGATCTGAGTCAGATTCATCACAAATCACGACTTCCCGGAGCAACCTTGAAAACGCAACAATTACAATTTGGCGACCCTTTGGACGGGGGTAGTGTAGTGTTTTGTGATGGATCTGACTCAGATCCATCACAAACCAACGGGCCAGTGAAACCTTGAATTTGTGATGGCCAACACTCAGTCCATCAGATAATAAATCAATGGTTTGTACAGGCCCTGGGCGGAGCAAGTGATTTGTGATGGATCTGACTCAGCTCCAGCACAGATTAAACCGGTCACAAATAACCGAGTGAATGAACCTCGATTTTGTGATGACCAGCAATCATAAACCACTGGTTTGCGAAGGCCTAGGTCAGAACTAGTGGTTTGTGATGGATCAAGGTAAAAGTGACATCCACCACAAACAGAATGATGACGTTACTCAGTGCAACAAGCAGCAAACATTATCAATCAAATTGCAGGAAGGAGTTGTAATGGAACCATGTAGGTATGCATTCAAAACCTTTGAGGGCACATACATGAATGGTACTCTCCATGTAATAATTGCTTTTTAGTTTTCACCAGTCAAGGCAAAATGGGAAACAGACTTCATCACGGTATGCATCAAAAGACTTTCAGTGCACATACATGAATGATACTTGGCGCCCCAGTCCACTTTGGCGCCCCGAATCAAAGGTAAACAGCTTCAATCCATCCTGCTACGGAAGGTGCTGGAGCAGACGCCTTTCGCCTTGAACCCAGGTCGGCATCACGCATGTCATCGGGCGGCTCATCAGTGTGGCCGACCGTGTTGCAAAAGGCGTCTTCATCCTCCTCCTCCTCCATGTCTAAGGTGAAGAAGTGTGGGTCCTCAACGTCCACACTCACCCATAGGCCTTGGCCTTATGCTTGCCCTTTCCTCCTTTCCCCGAGCCCTTCTTCTTCTTCTTCTTGTCGACACGCTTGGGGCCATTCTCATGAGACTTTGAGCAAGAACTGTCTCCGGCCCAGCGCCCGATCTTCCCACATGCTGAGCAGCGGGATCGAGCCTTCTCTCGGGCAAATGCGTGGGCCCGCTCACTGAACTCGCCCTGGATGTTGCCCTTGAAGTAGCCACGATTGCGTTGAATCTCTTTGAGCTTGCGACGGGAGTCTTTGTAGCTCTTCCGTTGAGCGTCCATTGCACTGTGAGCTTCATAGACCTCGTCATCAGACGAAGCTCCAAGGTCGGACTGTGGCTCAAACTCTCCGTCGAAGGTGGCGAGGGCGTCTTCATCTTCCATCTCATCCACCTGGTAGGCCTCTTCATCGAGGTAGGGCTCTTCAATCTCTTCGTCCTCCGCCAAATCGGCGTAGTGCTTGCGACCTTTGAAGTCGCGGCGTGGCTGCCAATCACCTTTTCCTCACGCTCATGGAGGTCATGGAAGTTGACACGGAGGCTTTGGGTGATGCCTTCGAGGGTGTAGGCACTCTGATTGGAGAGCTGGATCTGGCGAACTCAATCCTGAGTGCTTCATCAGGAAGTAGGCACGCAGGTTCTCCGACATGGTGGTGTCATCGGAGAGCTCAGTGAGCATCGACCAACTTTCTTGCGCCTGCCTCATGTAATTGTCGATGGATTGGCCTTTCTTCCTCCAGGGGTTCTCTCGAAGTGCTGATCGAAGGCTTCGGTGAGCCTGACAACGCCCTCTTTCTCCATGCTCTGCAAGCGCTGGAGCACAGACTTGTACCCGTCCTTCTCCTTGAGTTTGTCGGTCTCGGTGATGAGGTCTTGGACGGTCCTCCAGGCTTCTCCATGAAGTCCGCCGATCAAACGAGTGGCGAGCCGAGCTTGCTTCTTTGCCAAATCACGAGCCTCTTCAGCGGCGTCCTTCCCTTCGCCCTCCAGGGCGTTGCATGCAAAAAGAACTCTCTGACGGTATTCCCTGATGAGAGAGGGATCTACCCCCTAGTGGGGGATGCTGTGTCCCGATCGATGTAGATCTCGCCATCACGGTAGAGGGGACCCTGCTTGGAGTCATGCGCCATGGGGCGGAGGCGAAGGAGCCGGATCTGTTGTCCGGCTCCGCTACCAGTGCGAAAGCCGCGCAGTGGTAACAACTGTTTTGACCGCAACACGAAACAAAGTATGCGTGCGAGTGAAACGTTCCAACTGCTTCTCTGGTGGTGTGTCATCCGCATCAAGCGGACCTGAAGTGTGTCAGCGCCGATGCTTTTCAGCTTGGCGGTTCCTCTTCGGGCCGGCTGGATTTGAAGCGAGCGAAGCGGACAAAAGCAAATGGCCGCACTTGCAACTGAACCACGGCAAATCTCACAATATATATATATATATATATACATACTACATACACGTAGGGTACTAGGTCAGGTGTTCGCCAAGCCAGCGCACCGAGCGATCAAGAAGACGGACTAAGACGCAAACCATGGACTTCATGGCCGCAAAATTCAAGCACTCGGCGCACTGATTCGCCAATGATAGTAGACCTTCAGAGTTTTGAAATCCATTGCGCCACCTTTGCGGGCTACGGCTTAATGTTATCTGCCTGAGATGACCAACATGCATTTCTTTGGCAATGTTTGGTGATGAGTAGTCCACCACCACCTCAAGAGGTCGAAATGTCAACACCGAAAATGATTGCGAAGCACGACAGGCTGTGACCCTCTTGCGTGGGAGGTCCAAGTAGGAAATGTCGCCCTTTAGAAGGCACTCACCAACCTTAGCATCTGCATCTTGCAACAAATTATCTGAGCCAGCATGAGCCTCCCTCCGAAACCCTCTTTGTTCAAGCAAAAATCGACTCATTGCAAGTTTCTGAAGCCACCTTGCTGCTGAGCCATTCTGGACTGACTCTGACCTAAGGACAGGCTGGGCAACATCGCTCCATTGATTGCGCTGCCTGCAATCCGTGTCAGCTTTTCTCAAGGCAAGCGCAGTGACAAATCCTTGTGGTGCCACTGAAATGTCCCCAAGCAGCTTGCTTGGCGGAAGGGAGTCCCTGCAAACACTCCACGCGCAAAGAAAGCAATGCTTCTGCAAGGTATCTGGCCTAATGGCTTCTGCAACTTTCAATGGGCTGTCAAAACCCAAACCTGGCAACGCGCGTCTTTAAACATTTCTATCCTTCGTATCCCTTCGGTCCACCATTCACTTGCAGCGATCCCTTCTGCCTGCCCCATGTTCCTTGAATATCATCATGGCATTGTTGCATTGGTAGTCACCTTGGTTGCTAACGCAGTGCAGGGCAGTATCAGTAGCACGTCTGAAATGGCATAAAAGTCGGGTCAAGGCCATACTTAGGGTTGCCCTTTGTCACCAACGCCTGGCAAGTCACAGGATCTTCAAGGTCGCTCGAAGAGCGGAGAAACTACATCATATCCCATAAACATCATCTCCCTTCTCAGCTTCGCGCATCTTGCTGAATTGAGGGGAAGGCGTCCTTCAACGCTTTGGTGAAAAGCGCGGTGACCTGCCCGGGCACCGTTGCACATGCAGAACGAGAAAATCCTCGCGCATAGAGAACCCCCTCAATCATGCTAGCCTGCCTGCCCCTGAACAGAGGCCAGTGGTGCCATGTGACCTCCCCAGGTTGTGATTTTCTGTCTCCATCGTTTTTTTAAATTGGGCTCAGGGATGGTTTTTTTCACCAAACAGTTTACTGTTGAAATTCTATCTTACAAAGAAAAGCGCTGGCCACACTCACTGGCCGCGCCCCTGAACTCAGTGGCTGGGCCTTGTCCTCCTCTTGGCCGCCCCCCTGAACTCTGTCAACTCTGTGGCTGGGCTCTGTGGCTGGGCCTTGTCCTCCTCTTGTCCTCCTCTTGGCGGCGCCCCTGAACTCTGTCAACTCTGTGGCTGGGCTCTGTGTCCAGGCCTTGTCCTCCTCTTCTCCTCGTTTTGTCCATGCCCCTGAACCCTGTCAACTCTGTGGCTGGGCTGGCTGGTGTGGCTGGGCTCTGTGGCTGGCCTCTGTGTCCAGGCCTTGTCCTCCTGAACTCTGTGTCCAGGCCTTGTCCACGCCCCTGAACTCTGTCAGCTCTGTGCCTGGGCTGGCTGGGCTGTGTGGCTGGGCTCTGTGTCCAGGCCCTGTCCTCCTCTGTCCTCCTCTTGGCCGCGAACTCTGTCAACTCTGTGGCTGGTCTCTGTGGCACACGCGCTCTGAAATACGCTCCAGAAAGGCGCGCTCAGATCGCGCCCTGCTAAAAAAGACAGAGAAAGAGAAACTTAAAGAGAAAGAGAGAGAGAGAGAGAGAGAGACAGAAAGAAAGAAAGAAAGAAAGAAAGAAAGACAGAAAGAAAGAAAGAAAGAAAGAAAGCAGGGCGCGCGCGCGCTCGTGTGCTATGGACGGCTTACTGGGCTCTTGTCTTCCTCTTGTCCTCTGTGCTGGGCTCTGTGGCTGGGCCTTGTCCTCTTCTTGTCCTCCCCTTGTCCTTGTCTTGGCCGGGCCCCTGAACTCTGTGGCTGGGCTCTGTGTCCGGGTCTTGTCCTCCTCTTGTCCTTGCCTTGGCCGCGCCCCTGAACACTGTGGCTGGTCTCTGTGGCCCGGCTTACTGGAGAGGAGCGTGGCCGAACAAATAACGATGTCAATGCCGACAAAAATTCATTGATGAAGCAGTTTGCTCTTGGGGTGAAAGTAGGGAGAAATCGATTTTTGACTAATATTGGTCTGAACGAATCGTTTTGAAGCTGTTTGGGGTCTACGTTTGTATATTTTTAATATTTTTTGTTCTTTGATTTAGCAGCTGTAGTGTTTCGCAATGCTATGGCACAGGATGTCATTGCCCATGCACTTGCTGCGCCTGCCAGTGGTGTACATGTCTACTGGCATTGTGAAATGGTTTGGAACAGCAAGCATGCCTTGTTTGTTTGTTTGTTTGTAAGTTTTGTCCAGGGAAAACTATATATAAATCTAACCCTTGAATAGGGGTGGGCATGCTAAGCGCATCCATTTGCAATTTTTGCACATTCATGCAAAGTCGGCCTTGACATGGACCATTGTGGCGCACCAGGCTAGAAATGAGAGTGGGCTATTGTAGGGAGACACCCAATGATGCCAATGGGTTTTTGTACATGTCCTTTCTTCCATGGGGTCTTTGGGATGTTTCCCTATTTAAGACCGTGAAACGGAAGGAGAAGAGAGCAAACTCCTCTGCTCTGCCCTTGGGCGGCTGATCTTGAGGATCCAAAAAGGTCTAAAAGTCTCTAGACCTGCAGGCCTAGCCTAGAGATCTAGAGGTCTGGGTCTTGACATCCAGAGAGATCTAGGGGATGCAAAGGCCTAGTCTTGAGATCTATGAGATCTGTGTCTTGAGACTCACAGGTCTAAGTTTGAGAGGTCTAGAGTCTAGAAATCTGGAGCGCTGGAAAGCACACATATGATCACATACGTGAGGACATCTAAGGAAACACCTTACAATAACAGGAGAGCGCACATACGGACATATCGGACCGCGTGCGTAAAAGAGCGCCTTTGCTGTCACGAACTCACAAAGCGCTGCGCTTGCCACGAAACCTGCACAGGGCCATACTGGATTTCCACTGGAGTTCCTTTACGGAATCACTTCCATTGGGAAAGCGACAAACTTTTGCAGCTGCTCTGTGAGCTGTCGGAACCTGGAAGGTTGGTAGGCAAAAAGTTGGTTGAACAGTCTGTTGGCTTGCTACTATGGTATTGTGGGGGCGCGTGTTGGCCGTTGGCTATTGTTGGGCGAAGTCTTGGTTGCAGCCCCTCTACAAACTTCTCCAAACCTCACTGCGTGCTTGGATCCATGTCTGTGGACCACTTTGGTGCTGTGCGAGGAGGGCTGTCACCTTCCCTATAAGGTTAGCTCTTCTTTGCGACGCCTTTTCTTTGCAATTTCCAGCATTTTCGGGTGAAAGTCTGCCGAACTTCGGCGTGGGCTGCTAGTGCGGTGCGCGCGCAAGCAGCAGTGCCTCTCCGGCTTTTGGACGTAGATGGTGGTTTGGCAGCAGCACACGCCTTTGCAACTGCGGATTTGGGAGGTTGAAGCGCACGCACACAGTGCTCACCACCAAAAGAAACGCGCGGTGCCAACAAGGAAACACCCATGTTTCCAGGCGCACACACCGTGCGAGCCCGGAGCACACGCGGTGCTCAGCCTTGCGCACGGTGCTCTTGAACTTGACCCACGCTGCATTCCAATTTCGTTCTTAATTTCACGTATATAAGTTGATTCGGCTGATAGGCGGCGCTGTCGGAGCCTGTCAGCGAAACTCTCCACCGTCAAGGGAAATTCAGCTCGACCGGCGCCGCCTGACACCCGAGCTAAATCCCACAAAGTGTTGCCCGCGGCATTGCCCGCCCTGGGCATCTGCCGGCAACAAACGGGAAGCAACCAAGCCAAAGGATGACGCGCCCAGGTCAGCACAAGGCACCGCCCTGCACGGCTGCTTGAAACACGGCAGCTAGGCACCAAATCAATGAGCTGGGCCAAGGCGGCCCTCACTGGACGTGTAGGGCGCGCCAGCGGCATCAGCCCAAGCAAAAGAAAAAATAACAAAAAAGAAATCAAAAGGGGCACTGCCCTCAATTTCTACCCAACCCAAGAACCGCTGCTGCTCACACCTGAGCCAAGATCATCCACCTCCAACGTACAAAGAACTAGTTCCAGTGATGTGCAGCAGGGTAGCTTGGGTGTACACTGTCCGTATCGTCCCCCCCAGTGTGCACCCCTATGCCCAATTCCAAAATGTGCCTTCGGGCGGCTACAGAAGGCGCGCTGCGTTGCAATGCTTCCATCCTGCTCAAATCTTGCCCTTGGAATTGCTCTTTTGTCGTTTTAAATTTACCCTCAAGGTGGCCCAAGAAAGGTTTCCCCTTATATAGGTTTAATTCGTCCTTCCTGCTCAAAATTTTGCAATCGGGTGGCCCACAAAAGGTGTGCTACGTTGGAATGGTTCCGCCCATCACACGAGAAACCAAAGGCCAACAAAAAACACACACACACAACACAAACGAAAAAAATTAGCAAGAAACAACACCGGCACATGCACACTACACAACACACACACACAGAAGCACAAAGAGCAAGAAGCTCAAAAGTGATATATCAGAAAGAACAGGAAAAACCGCAAACACGCAAGCAAAATTCTAAAGAGGAAAGAGGCAAAAAAGTGGAACACAAAAAACAAGAAACACAAGGAATCCAAAACAATCCCAAATTTTAAAAACACGTATACAATATATACCAAAGAAAAAACAAACACATGCAATCCGTTTTAATCTGAGCATCTTGGGGCTCCAAGCAGTGATGGTTCAATGCGCAGGTCTCTTGGCGAAGACAATGACTTAGGAAACCACCTAACTACATGCAGGACAAACATCTGCAACATTTTCTTCCGACAGCGGCGAAGAGGTCTTTCTGAGTCGTGTGGTTTGAGCCTACTTCGACATGTTCTTCTCATGCAGCAGTTCAGCACAAGGTTTGAACCACGCGATTCCTGAGAGGACTTTGCGTGTATTTATATATATACTTCGTGGTGTCTTGCTGCTGTCATCAAAAAGCACCGTCATTCCAAAGTGCGATCCACCAAGGCCTGTCACGTTTTCAGAAAAAGGCCAGCCAGCGACCAACTGTGAGAAGCCGCTATGCACTGTGAAAAGCGAACGACTTGCGTCAGTTGCGCTGGCCAGTTCCATCGACCTGCTGCTATTTTGCAGCTGGAAACGAGGGGTGAAACACCGTGGCTGGAGCTCCCACTTGCTTGGTGCAGTTGATTATAGTTCATCGTTCCACCGATGGCCGACATTACCCATGTCGTTTGCAGAAGTCAAGGCTACAGGAACTGAATGACGAGAGCATGATCAGCCAAGGTAAAGCTTGTGGCCTGTCATCTCAGAGTTCAATGTATTCAGTCGGCCTTGCACCTGGGCTGGGAGGTCTGCAAAGCACTTTTCAAGCCTGGCATTAAGGCTGCGGCGCAGCAGTTCAGGGAACAAAGTTGCTGCAATCGCTCCTGTTGGAGGGCCCGCCACCCCTTTGAACTACTTCTTGAGGAATTGCCCACGTGCCCGGCCAATCCGCTTGCAATGAACGGCACGCACCTACCCAGTCTTTTTCCCCACATTGTTGTGTGGGGTTCTTGTTTTTTTGCTGCACCTCCTCGCTCGTCCTCCTCCCTCCTTCCTCCTTCCTCCTCTCTAACTACAACCTCTCTCACACAACATCTCTCACAACAACA